GGATTTTTAGATGTTCTGCTAACTTCGAACACTTTTGCCGGCACAAATTTCGGGACTATAGGTAGATTGGTGCTACGTTTGTGACCGTTTGTGCCGTAAAAAGTAGTCCCCTTGCCGATTATCGCAATTGTTAGGTGCTCTGGAAACCTTGTACACTGTGTTGAAACTAACGTGCATTGTCAGTCAGTATCGCGCATGGGTTAATGCTACCTCTGTGCCGGCATGTATAGTAAAAAGTTTGCCCCAAAAAGGAACTGTCTGAAAACTATTGCATTTCGAATTATTCGATGTCACTATCTTGAGTACTATCCTACTATCATGACTTTGTCTTCCATTTGTAGGTACCATTGTCATTCGATACTCTTAGCACGATTTTAATGTTATAGCGATTAGATTTCACACAAGTGTAAAATGCGGTATTGTATGTTGTACCTAATGCAAGTTAAAATTAACATCTCTTTCTAGGTTCGCCATGCATTTGGACTAATGAGCTAAAACATTACCTTATTTGCTTCCAATGATTTAAAGTGTAAATGCGACTGTAGTACGTGATCTTTTGTTTCAGTTTCCATCGTCAGAAATAGATAAAAATCCCTACCTCTGAAGATAGGCTTCAAAGTTAATTAACAGTTTTATTTTGTTTCAAAGTTTCTATCATTTTTTAATTTTTACTTTCTTGTGCCAACTATCCCTTCTACTCTTGGTCTGTTAAAATATATTGTGTAATGTTCTTCCAGCTACAATGTCACCATAGTGTCGTTTCTCAGAGATTAGCTTTTGCTTCATAGCCTACGGTGGTAGTGGTAGTGTGGAGTAATAAATAAAAGTCAATAAATCGCATAGAGAACCAATATCATCTATTTTTTTGGATTAAAATATACGGGGTGTTCCTGTACCATTACAAAAATTAAGTTAGGTTCGTTAACTTTTTTACCCGATCGGGAGCCCACATACTTATTCGGCATTTTATTTAACAATCCCTATAAAGACATTAAACTTTTGTATAAAACATTTTTCTACATCTTTTGTAACTAAGAAAATGTAAGGTCTTAAGCGAGCGACTAACTACAACTTTTGATTTTACCGAAATGAATGGAACGTTCACGTTTTGCGAATCGTCATTCATTCATTTTCTATAAACATTCTCATATGTGATATTACCATTTTAAGTTTCACTCAAAAAGAGCACATTACTCCTGTACTTTTTTATATAACCAACAATTATGGAGATACTCTATACTTAAAAGTGTACAACAGTCACAGTAGATAAAGGCGCAAATAACAACTATTAAACTTATGACCGTGGCTGACAACTGGATGATTCACCGGTCAACAAAAAAATATTTTTTTTTTTCGCATGGGTTTACATAATATATTCTGACTATAATAAGCAAAAATAAATACAAAATTGCAATTAGACATCGAAAATATTTGCTTTTACAAAAGTTATACGATTTGATTGAAAGCTTTCAGGGGCGAAAATTAAAGCTGGAATCTATGTTTTCCCTCAAATAAAAAGAAAAATGGAGGGTGATATTTTCCCGCGGTTACTTAGCAAAGAGGGAAAAAAATCCTGGAACAGTTTTAAGGCAATAGTCCATGGTTTCCCGTTCAGTGTTTCCTGGGAAACCATAGAGCTGAAAATTATGACGAGCTGACAGGTTTTGGTTTTGCATCATCGGGTATAAAATGTCTTTAAAGATGCACAGGTTACAGTCTCATTTAGACTAATTTAAGGATAACATGGGAACCTCTTCGGAATAACAAGGACAACCCTTTCATCAAGACATAATGGAATTTAGGCACGTTACCAAGGCCAGTAACCTGGAAGCATGATGGAAGATCATATTTGGAGGGTTGATGAGAAAAACTTCAGTTGAACATGACAAAAACAGCAAAACTGTTCCATTTTTAAACATTTAGACTCTAAGACAAACAAATTATAAATGTAGGAACGTTGCCTTATAATAAATCATGCCAATGTAAGTAAGATTTTATAGGTATTTTTACTTTTTGGTTTTTTTCATTTTTTTCGCACAAAAACAAATACATAACCTTTTTTTGTTCTAATTCTTATTTGTGGCTATACAAGCAATACAAATAAGGTATATATGTCCCATGCGCAAACATGCTGTAGACCGGTGATTAAAGTAGGTACCTACAGCGACGCGGTATAGCTAATAAGGGGATTTTTTATTGCGGGCAAAATTTTCAATGATTTAGGGACATGTTTAATTTTGCGATTAAAAATGCCTCGTATCAATGACAATTGCTTTATATTTTGGAAAAGATCATAATTAAATCACAGTAATGCTTACAATTTCATAAAAATCCGGAAAAATATAGTCTTTGTGATGCAAAGGTTGCAGAAGAATCTAAACAAGTATAAATTGTGCAGATAAAGCGCATTTTTTTAACCGAAATAGGGAGGGGGAACTTTATACATAAACATTTAAAGGCTGCCAGGCATAGGTACATTCAAAATCTAAGCTGTATAATACAAGAAAAATCAGATTATTCATTTCCCCTTTGTGAGTACTCTCCTCCGAAAATCTGCTCTTGAGATGTAATGAATTATAACCGATAAGGGATCGAGGAGGAGGGCTCTGGTTGGTAGAAATTAATTCCTTTCATTGAGACCTTTCATTAGAGTACCATGAAGGATAAAATGTGTCACCCCAACCCCCAATTTTGATAAGGGGGCAAGAAAGAAGGGCTTGATAAAAAGTTATTGCGTTACAAACCAGCACAAAATAACGAGTAATCGAGATATGAGCCGAAAAAGTGTGCGAACTGAGTAAACATCTAAAAACGGGATTAATAATTTCTAAACTGTATCTTTTGCTAGCAAACTTTTTACAGCATAAGGCCCGGTACAGATGATCGGAAAAGTAATCGGGACGCCGATCAAGATGGTCAGAAATACGTTGGGAATAATGTGGCAGGGTAACCGATATAGGTATCGGCGTCCCATCACTCCCATGTCCATTGCGCAGTTAGTCAACGCATTTCTGATTATCTTGATAGGGGTCCTGATTACTTTGCAGCTCATATCCGGGCCTAAACCAACACAAACGCGACAATAATCAACGCACCAGTCCTGAGACTTGTGTCGACAAACCTGTGCGAAGAGCAGGACATCTAAAAATCGGGATAAGTTCCACGTTTTGCTCAAAAAAGTTTTACGGCACAATCCGGCCTGGTCGCGGTATTGATTACCGACAAAAATGTGCGCAGTTGCTGCTCGATAGAGCATCTAAAAATGGAAGTTTTCACACAGTTCTGCTGTTCTGCTAACTTCACGGACCCTGTAACTCTCGGGATGTAAATGACAATTACTGCAAATGATGTAGAGCCGGCTACTTTTTTTAATAAGTTGGTTTTAGGCAACGATAAACAAAATGTATTTTCATCTCTGCATAGCCTCACGTGGTATCGAATAAGCCGCAATAAATCAGGAGAGAACATGTATTTAAATGAAAGGCTAGATTTTATGCGACGATGTTGAAGGGAGATCATAGTTCTTATTGATGATTTACAATTTCGCACTATATAGCCAAATAATTTGAAGACACTTGCGACAAGTTTATCAATGTGTATCTAATCTCATCAATAAATATAAAAAATAATAGAGGTCCCCTTGGGCCTTGGGAACTCCAGAAGAGGCATTTCAGAGCTGAAATTTTTGTAACTCGCAAATGGTATCAATGCATCATCAACACCATTTATATACGTAAGAATACATTATGATTAAATGCGGTGAAATGTTTTAGCCATGTCAGTATAAATGGCATCCACCTGTCTTTGTACATCAAGATATCTTGCAATGTAATGCAATTGTAAATTAGAGAACGTGGACCGGTTTTCCATGAATCCGCGCCGTGCATCAGAAGAAATGTATCTTTTAACATTTGGATAAATTTTAGAACATAAAAATGCAAAATTATAGAACTAGGCTCGCCACTTTTTAGCACAGGACAAACGAGAGCAGCAAAATATTAATTAGAGGTTTTTTGTTATATAACTCAAGCAAATATCAGTTTTACGTCAATGAAAATTTGGCATAATTGGAACAAAAGTAAGAGGGAACTTGACATTGTATTCACGAGGAGAGGAACTGAAATAGATACACGTAGGAAGGAAATGTCATTGTGTCAGTATCAAATCAAGTGTGCTCTAAACAAGATATTACCTACTTGAAGTATGAATAGCAATTATTTCGGTAGCGAAATTGTATTTCGTTTCTTTGCTTTTATTAGAAGAGCCTAATGTCAAGATTTCAGTAAAATCATAAGGTAGGTAATTGGTCTGCGTATGCAAACTCTCGACTTGATATGTGCGTTATATTTTAAATACTTACTGTCAAAATTTATGAAATTATTACGGCGCTATATTGGACAATTAAGTAAGATTAGTATATAAGAGAAAATGTAATCTGCATTCTCAGCTCGTCTTTTTGCATGAAAATTATTTATTCTTTACAGATCATTCTTGAATTCTCGTTAAAAACCCTGGATTGGCTAGTAATGAGCGATCTTCGATAGAACTTACTGCAAAATCAACCCAAATGATATTGTTTTCACTAGTGTAAATGTACTTTGACGTAAGACCCTAGTCCAGAAGGGTGGATTAGCCGAGTATTAGACCCTAGGTTATGATGATTTGTGTGCCGCTTCCTACACCACTACCACGTGTGCATTTCTTAATACCTCTGATATTTTATTATTATATTAACACAACGCATCATTGAGAAACAACAAATTATCTTCATGTTCCTCGAAACTCTCAATTTTCTGTACATAATTAATCAAAGCGACTGTTCTTCTAAACTTTCATGACAGCCACTTATCCTTGAAGTAAACTAACATTATGATTCTCCTCCCCCCCTCCCCCTCCTTTGGACCCTGGCTGCGCCAGTGCAAAAAATCTACTGATCCGAGTGAACGGATGGTCGTAATAAAAAAAAGACGAGCATAGTGATACAAAATACCAAAACTTACTAGTAAGCATCTTCGTGACTGCTGGGGCGATATTCACTTCGCATAATAATTCAAAAGAGATCGTATGGAAACATTTTATAATCGCCGATGTTTGTAGGGAAAGCCAAAGGCCGTTACCGGATAACATAATGCAAGTGATGGGCTTATTTGCGTCATTATTAACGGTCATACTATTCTCAGTGGCCAATGTTTCCGTGTTGAAGACTTTCACCGTATTGCCACAACCACACCATATCTTTCCAACACCCGGAAGCATTTTAGACACTGGCATTGTGGTCGATCCTACTGAGACGGTAGTTGGAGAACTGGTATTCCAACATCCAGCTACAAAGATTACCGTTACATGAGGTATTATCCACATTTAGAAACTACTTACAGCTCTCTCTGTCGTAAATAATGATATCACCGTTTCCTAAAGCTATATATACTTTATTATCCATGTATCTGTAATGGGGACTAGTTAAGCGATGTCTATTACTTAGCTACTTACATTATAGATAAAACTGCTGACCCGTGTTGCAGTTTAATTTTATTTTTCTTAATGCGAATATTGTCACTTGAATTATATACATGTATGCATCCATCTTCCGTACCTAACCACATGGTGGATTGTTGATTATCGGTTTCATCCGAGTCCGTACTTGACACTTCAACCAGTTTAATTGGCGCGGACGCTCTGTTAATATCACCACTTTCTTCACCGTCACTTCTATCCTCATCTTCGCTTGAAGAGCTGCTGTCAAATTGAATCGTCGAATGTTCGTCATTGAGTTCGGTGCCATTATTCTGTCTACTTTGAGGAATTCCGCTATTAACACCAGGTATCGACGCGATGCATAAAATTCTGGCGTTACACACGCCATTACAGGAAGTAACGTTGGGCTCTGGTTGTAAACTTAAAACACACACTTGTCCAACATAGCCATCGCTATTACAAACCCATACATCTTTTCGATTTTCCCCAATAATTGGAGCCGCGCATGTAAATTGCAAGCCCGCCCTTGTTTTTCGGATGGGAACGGCGGCAATTAACTCAGGACTCGGTCTCCTATCTCCAGTCGTTGCTAAAATTTACAAACACGTTACGCTAGTAAATCAAAGAGGATTATTTCGGTTATTCAGCAAATCTCGAATATATCTTGTAAAACATTAAGTACGTTGTAAACGACAACATTTGGGATCATAACATATAATTTGGCCAAAAGAATTCGTAGGAATGTCAAGAATTTAGAGCATTTCAGTAATCGTCTCCTCAGAAACTAGCCATTCGCTAACACTTTTCTCATTGATGCTGAGTATTGCATGAATTTGAAATTGATTTTTCCAAAATATTTACAATAAAAATGCAGTAATCTGCTCTATAATTACTCTTGAAAACTTGGAATGTATGTAGCTTAATTATTCCTTAATCTTACTTCAGATCATTATAATTTATATCAAAATGCTTCACATTAAAAATTTTAACATATACATACCGACCGTAAATTTGTTTAAGCCTGAAGGCACACGCATCTACCTACCAGTTTGTCTTAAGTGCAACCCCATATCAAAGGGTACTCCTACGAGTAAAGTGATTTATTTTATCTTAAGGTGTCAAGTAGAAGGTCCATAATATTTAACGATTTGCTTAAACTTTACCAACGAGTGGGGTGAGTTTTGAAGACTGTGGCCAATGTACAAATTGAATCTTTTGAATGAATCAAATTGCATCTTATCGATGATTACAATTTCTTTCTTAGTGATATCTTCGTTGTAATTGTCTAATAAAATGTTTATAGTGCATGTTCTTCCTTCATACGACATATATCGTTATCTAAAGCAATTACGGAGACTTGCTTATATTGTAAAAAGGGAGCGCATTATAACATCAGGTGTGGATAACAAAATTTCCCATTTTCGTAATAATTGTGATATTATTAACCTTCACAATGAAATGATTCTCGATCAAATTTACAAAAGCAATAAAGGAAAATATTTGGAAAATATTGAGAACATATGCGAAGACTATTTATATCGAAACGAAAATTCGTGAATCGTTAAAAATGATAATTTATATAAATTTGGATTTATGCATAGCATAAATGTTTACATATGCGTGGCTTTCTACGACTTGTTTGGAGTAATAAATTATGTTTATGCAACACATGGAATGAAATCGGAAAACGTGGTGGAAACCTATACAATGAAAATGTTGAGTGGTATGTATGTACTTTATTGTTTTGTGGCAAGAATTGGTGCACCCCATTTATCCAACAAAAAATCTGTCACTAAGGAACGCGAAAAAACGTAATAATTTTTCCGGTTATAACTACTTAACTAAACTATGCATAATGCATTTCCTTCAATATTTACTGTTCAAATATTAAATTTCCAAAACGGTAAAACGATTGATTTTAATGTATATAAAAAACTGTCTATGAGAAATACCGTATTAAAAATACCTTATTTGATAAAAAATGAGGTTTCCAGCCCATTTTTATTTCTATATGAAGGCTGTTATAATTTAATTGGCGTTAGCGCTGCTGCTTGTTAATATTTTTATGATAAATGCATAGAGAGGGTTCAAACCTAACATTAAAAATTGCTTTGGAAAAATTATTAAAACTAAGTTGTTTTTAAATAGAAACCCCTCTATTTACCGAAACTTATTTAGCTCAAAAAAGTTACTTTGTATAAAGTAGTATATTCCATAAATTTTAAATTTTCGAAATATTGATTGTTTAATATTTTTAAAAGATGTCAAAAAAGGCTAAATTTGAGTATGGGATATTACGCATGAAATATATGTAGAACTTTACGTAGATATAAGGGCGTTTCATTTAAAATAACCAAGATGCCATCAATTTCCGATATAACATATTATGCATGACATTAGTATATTGTCAAATTTTCAAAATATTCCGAGGTCTCCTTTTTGAGTTATAGATAGCAACACCAACAAGAAAAACTTCATCTTGTCCAAATGAAACAGACTATTCAAAATGCAAACTTGACAAAGCTTTTATAGTCAAAGCATTATACGCGATAGAAAAAAAAATGACTTCGCAGTCTCGATGTATTTTTTTTTTTTTTAGATAAATTCGATGTTGAAAACCAAACTGACCTGCCGTCCTTTATTATGAAACAATCATTACAAAGAAATTTTGCAATAAACGCATTTAGCTCTTTCTTTTGTCTAAGAATATGTGTACCAAATTTGGTTCCAATCGGTTCAGCCGTTTAGCGGGAAATCAGAGTACAGACATCGTAGAAATTTTATTCGATTCGGTTTCCTGGTGGTTCCGTTGCGTGTATTTCCGTCAAAAAGTTAGCGGTCATTTTTTACCCCAATGCAATAGGTATACCAATAGATATACCAACGTGCGGGTGGCAAAAAGAAATGCAACTTTTGCCCATAACTCAAAAAAAAGACTGTAGGCCAGTTTGGTTTTCAACATCGAGTTTGAAAATGTTTTCAAAATTTTTATATGATCAAAATGAAGCTTTTTATTGAAAAAATGCGAGCTATATCAGCTATATGCAACAGTTGCAGTGTTTGGTTGTTCGAATACTGTTAATGAAAGGAAGAAAAATGAATAGGTACCTATAGCACGTGGTATTTGCGTGGGACACGGCAAATTATTATTTCGCCCGCCCGCTCTGTAGATTTATTGGCCCGCTCTTAGTAATCAATCTGGCTACGGCCCTGAATGCGGCCCCAAAAGCATTAATATTCTGTCATGTAAAACATCAGAAATCAGCTTTGTAAGAAATGCCTGCGGAAATGGTCAAAATCTTCAAGAGAATGTGCATAACGAAAAATATATGATAATGAAGGTAACAAATTCTTTATTAATCGGATCACATTTTTTGAGTAAATTGGTAAAATTAAGACAGAAACATGTGTTCACTTCAAAAAGTGAAGGGAATTTGATGCTATCAAACGCGAGGAGGGTACGTGTACCTACCGGGACCATGTAATTAGGGACGGAGCTACATGATGTGGGGTCGGCGACATCTGACCGCCATCACCGAGCATAGGTTTACTAACGTGGTGAGTTTTTCCCTATCTTCTTCTACAGTTTTGCTCCGATTCTTTTCAAATTGGTGTCGTCGGACAGATCATGTAAATGCGCACTGCCTGACGGATTTTTTTCCTAGGGGCGAAATTAACCATCGAGGGGTATTTCACTGGGCAAAATCGATGTCCTCCCCCTGTTCTGTCAGTAATTCTGTGTACCTACTGCCCGGCCCTGCATGTGTACTGCCAGGTACTACCAGCTCCACGAAACAAAAACCCATCGACATTTTTTTTATGAATGCCATTTTGCAATGAACAATAAGTTATTTACTTAACTTAAAAGGTACTATATAATTAACGGAACATCTAATCGCCTTGTAGGTAGGTATTTGTTAATAAATGTATGTTATATATATACCAGGTGATTCATTTATTTTGAGAAGATCATATTTTTTGGATTCATACAAAAGTTCTATAATTCTAAGGGGGCTAATCGGTGGTCACCTTGAGGATGACCTTGATCTCGAGCTTTAAGGCTACTCCAATTTCCAAATTTTGAATGAGACCCGCCTACGAGGGTAGGGATAATCAGATATGCCCCTATATACATGCTTTAGACCCCTCAAACATGTCACACGTAAAATTTCCAACCCCTACGACCACGTACCTATAAGGGTAGTGAGAGTGGGGGGTTACAAATTGTTGTTTCATTTTGTACAATTGTGTGCAAATTAATGTAAAAAATTATGAAGTCGCCCTCTTTTGTAAATGTATATACGTAGTCATAGGAGGTTGACATGTTTGGGGGGGGTATAAAGCGTGAATATACATTTTGGGATATATCTGATCATCCCTACCATCGTAGATACAAGATCACCTGGTATGTTATACAGTGTGTCCGAGATAATAGGGACACCTTAATATCTCTTTTATTTAGTGAGATTTAAAAAATTGTCAAATATAATTTTGTATACATCACGATCTATCCGATGGCATATTCAAATTTCCGGTATCAGTTCCGGTTAAACCGAAAATCAATTTGGTTTTTTTCAGATCTTTGAAAAGAGCAATCAATTTATTGTACAACATCGTGTATGCATATAGTTGATATACAAAAAATGGAGAAATTCGTGATATTACCTACACGGGGAGATCGTATGGCGAAAAAGTAAATATGCAAAACGGAACATTGAACAAGTTGATGTAGGTCTTTTCTGTGTAACAGCATGCTAGATTTTCTAAATGTTGAGTTACAATTTTTTCCATTTTTGTTGTATATTAACCATATGCATATTTTGTCTTGTCGTACAGTAAATTGATTGCTCTTTTCAAAGATCTTAAAAAACATACGCGTTGCATTTGAAAAACAAAAGTTGCCTCCGATTCCAGTAAAACCGAAAGTGATAGCGGAAGTTTCAATATGCGCTAGGATAGATCGTAATGTCACATATAAAATTATATTTGACAAATTTTTCGTATCTCGCCAAATAAAAGAGGTATTGAGGTGACCCGCTTATCTCGAACACAGTGTATATGAAGATATAACTGAGCACTAAACACAATCACACCATAAAACTGTTTTTGTACCTACTACACAGGATCTTTACATTTTACAACTGTCATACTAAACACGAATACAACCTAGTCCTAGCAGTGTACTTCTAGGTCTTCCCAATGTGATTTATGGTACTGCCAGTGTACTACAAGCTCCTGTAAATGTACTACATGGTACTGTCCGTGCTGCCAGTGTACGACCCGGTCCTGCGTGTCTACTGCCTAAAATTCCTACACGTACTGCCAGCAGTGAAATACCCCTCATTAACCACATTTTGCACGGCGCGCGCCTTCGAGGGGTAGTCGACTCGAGCGCCTATAAGTTTCTTAAAGCTCGAATCGCGGTCTCTCTTTCTCGCGTCTCGAGCTGTGAGAAGTGCCTCAAAAATTGAGTATTATTTTGCGGAGGGTTTTTAGCTCGATTTTTAGCGAAGTCTACCAAAATGCCAATTGCGGGTGAAAGGCACGTCGGAAGTGGGTACCGACAAAGGGAATGTAGTAGTCCCCCACAAAATCTTATTGATGGTCCCTTCCATCGCACACGAGACCTTTTATAATGTTTTCTTATAAGTTAACACAAGGTTTTGTAAGTACGCAAAAGTTCAGTGATCTACAATAACAATTTCAAAATTATACCGAATAGAACACGAAATTACATTAAAAAACCAAATATTAATCATTATTGACATATATATTTATATACAGTGTGTAAAGCGATTTATTCTTCATGATATTTTTTGCTTGCTTTGAAAGTACCAATAACATTTCGATTGTTTGTGGTTTGATAACAATACGCTATCTTGATTATAATGTAGAATGATAACTTTCAATAAAAAAAATTAATTTTATTATTTTTCCAGATTTCTATAAATAAATTTTAGATTATCGAAACGTTATTGGTACTTTCAAAGCACAAGCAAAAAATATCATGAAGAATAATTTTTTTCATAAATCAATATTTTAAAAAAATTCCCTCTTGTATACCCCAACGCTTTACACACTGTATATCATATGGATTGGATGGTGTGTCCCCGGATTGAGTAAATTATGCGTGTGATTGATCAAAAATTTTTGAATCTCGTGTGTGAGTATGAGCCACGGATTCTTATTTACTTAAAAACGCATTTACCTTTTCGTAATTTACGAGGGGACAAGCTATCCGAAACGCTTATATTGCCATTTTTTGTTTTATGGTTAAATCCATAAAAATTGTTGAAAAATTCTAGGGATCACGATCGACCTCGAGAAATTTTGTAATGCGCGCGTGTATATGGGGAACGTATGAAGGAAGCGAGACGTTTTTTGATCCGAAATATAGTGCCAGTATATGACTCTTCAATTTAAAAAAAAAGGTTTTTGAAAATTCTACATAATATTTTTAAACAAATGAGTAAGTAGAAAATTCGTGACTGATAGACGTGGACAACAAATATCAGTGGATTATTTCGCAGGCAAACTTAATTAATTAGCAACATCCAAATTTTGTGTCTTCGGCAAAATAAACAACAACCACAATAACCATCGTATTAAAAGGCGTGTTATAAGAATAACATTAAATTAATTAAATTCTGTTCACTTCCCAAAAAGCTCGTTTAGAATAAAATCAGTCGCATAATCTCTTTGTGCCATTTCTAAAATTTGTCTTGAATTTTTTTCACATTTTTGAGAGCAATTTTGTTACTTTCTGCGACGAAAGAAGTTTTAAATTGAAGGAAAACGTGTGCATTTTTGTGATCGCGCCGTTTTGCCCTCGGTTTTACCTTTTCTCTCCCTAGCATTTAATGGCTCTTGTGACCTATAATTACACAATTTTGAGTTTTATCTAACTCGCACTGCTTTAACGTTGCGAATCGTCAAAGTTTTGTACGGTGGAACTACCAAATTTTTAAAAGATTATTACAAGGTTTTTCACATACCAAAAAAACAGATTTCTACCCCGCAACCTTACTGTGCTGCCTTAACAACACAATTTCATTAAATTACCTTATGTGGTATTTATTGGGGGTAGTTCATTTTGATGAAGATCTCGAGGATCGTTCGGTATTCATTTGTATCGGATTTTTTCAAGAGAATTTTTGCCTGATCAAGTGATATGCATAAAACCTATTGTATTAAATGGTTACGTGATTTCACCGCATAAATTAAAATTATTGATTTTCGGTTACATTATATTAATCCGATGTCTTTTTAACCATTTTCTGTCTTTCAGAAAAACGCATTTTTATTGTTGTGTGCTGTATTTGAGCGTACTTCTCAAACGCCGATTATTTGGTTTGCTGTATTTCGCGTAACGAAGAACTGTGACTCTTGGAAGGTACCGCTGTTTTATTTTGAAGATATCCATATTTTAAAAGTCATACTATTTTGTTCAAAAAACGGCCATTTACGAAAAGTTGATAGTTCCCGAGAAAAATTAAGGCTGCCACAATGTGCATTTTACCGAAATTTCATTATCAAAACCCCGCAAATTACACAATAAAGGAAATCAAAACTACCCCACTTTCACTGGATTATTTAGTTGTAAGAAAACGTTAAGGATTTTTTCGCCGAAACGTGGTTATGGCAAAATGAACAGCAATAGTTGTATTAAAGGGGTGCGTCGTAACACTATATTGGTTTTCAGTTATATTGCATATGGCATTCGTACTGTAAAGCGGTATGTTCTAGGGTATGTTTATACTAATTTTATTATCACATTTTAAACATTTGTGAGGAATTGCAGTTAAGTTAAAGCAGTGCAAAAGTACTCTTTCATCGTGATCAAAAATGAAAATATACCTAAGTTATCACCATTTATAGTAATATACCGGATATGCTAAAAAGTATTAAATTTGTCTGAATCTGTGAAAGGTTACCAAGTTTTGTTCATTTTGGGATCATAAGTTTATGACCCAAAGTTCCCACAACAAACTCGTTTTGAATAAATTTGATCTCGATTTTTATCACCACAAATCATTATGCAATATATTTTTTACAGCGCAATTTAGAAACATTGGTAGAAACTCCTATACGAGATGGTCATGTTGAGAATCCGCAAATTGTGGTTATTTGTCGTGAGTTCTCAAAGTAAACAAAAAGTTTTTTCATTATAATAGGCACTAAAACTAGTATTTTGAAAGGCAGCCCTTTGATCTACCTAGATTCAAAATACGATGATAAAGTGAACGAGTTTTAATTATTGGGAAAACGTGTTAGTTCGAAAATGGCTACAGACAATAGATATTTTCATTTGTTACAATCAAACGCTCACCTAATTTATGCTTAGCTTCATTAAAGGATTCTTCCCACGACGCTCTTTTTTCTGGTTTGGAAAATACAATTGACATGGTCTCCAATCCATTTCTGTAAGTAAGAAAATTGTACTAATGTCATAAACTAGTTGGACACTTACGAAGTGCTTAATGTTAAATCTAAACAAGACAATTGCGAATCCGAGTTTTGTTGTTCAACAAGTTGCTTATTCAATTTTTCAAACATATCCTTAATTACTTCATCCAAAGCATTATGGGTACAATGCAAAGTCCAAGTTAATTCATTAATTTGGTTCAATACTGATACGTCCTCCGTTAAATTTTCAATTTCGACCATCATTTGCTTCAGACTCTCATCTTTCGCCTTAACGATGTCTAAATCATCCAACGATATTTTCATCAATAACTTATATTTATTGGCATCTAAACTACTGGTAACGCTGCCTTGACCCGGACTAGCCTTTCGAATTGTGCCGCTTTTTCGTTTCATACTGGTAACCAATAACAAATCGGAAAATAAAAATAAAGCTCTCTCCTTACGTGTTCCGCCACCAGCTGCCATACTAACTAAGTCGTGCCTTAGGTATTGACGATCTGTCACCACTAATTCTATTAGACCATCTATCAACGCTTCTATTTCCCTGAGTTGTTCCAATTCTAGAGCTTCCCTTTCAGTACAGTTAATCCGAAGCAATTGATCATGAACTTCGCGTTGCGCTGATAATAATAGGCTGTGATCTGGATGAGCCACATCAGTATGTTTAATTAATCGTTGTAGTAGCAACTCATACTTGGGAAACTTTTGAATGGGTTTGATTAATAGGGAATCTAAAGCCAGTTTGCCTTTATGTTCTCTGGCAGTGTTCTAAAACGTGCAATAATTTATTTTAAATGAACACAATCCAATGTTAAATCTCGTACCTCTAAAAACTTCGCGAAGGCCGGTTTTGATTGTTGGGCATTTTTAATTATATCCCTCGCCCTTTTCCAATTATTTACATAATTTGTATAGCTCTCTATTACAGCCGGCTTAGAGAACTAAAAACGAAATAAAAATATCGTTTTATACGCCAAAGACAAATTGCCTTACTGTTTCTAAAAAGACGTCCCCAACTTTTTGCTTTATATCCCAGTGATCCAGACGTTTCTTTAGTTCTTCTAAAAACACTTCGTGGTGGCTTAGCAAAGATGGAATCTACAACAACCTTCAATAAATAATTTCAGCAGTTACACAGGTTTTATAAGTTATACCTGAAAAAAAATTTCATCGACAAGGTTTGCGTCTAGCAAGCTTGCGTTTTCCGTACTTTTGAGAGGTTCCAAATATTTCTAAAACGTTCCTTGGATACATTTACAACTATCGGCATGCAGATGATTCTTACCGAAATTAAAATTTGAAGTGATTCCACATATGATCGTTCTGTATCGTAAAGCTCTACAACCACGTGCGTACGCGTATCCTGAAATATAACCATTCAATTGTAAATAAGTAGAAAAAAGGAAAACATGGAAATGGAAGGTTGTTTACCGAGAACGAAAGGGAATTCGCAAAAATTATGGAAGACACCTGATGTTCATCCTCACTATCCTCCCCAGCCGAACATCGATCTAAACGTAATCGCAATTCGCATCTTGAACTAGGACCGCTCATTTTTAGAAGCAACGCATCTTGGCTATGCCACACCTTACGATCATTTCGTTTGTACTGGATAAAAACCGCGTACGCGCCGACGCGAGACGTCGCGACGCTACCGACACATCTCCGAGAGACGCGTGCAAAATGAAATAGTCAACGAACTATACCTACAACACGCAACGGAATCTATTTTGCATTTACTACATAAAAAAGTAAATCTGACCGAAAGCCCTTCCATCCCAAGCTATTTTCATTTCGGCTCACCTAAAATTGCGCCTTCTGACAAGCATAAACAAAAATAAACATCGGACTATTATGACATAAAATAGAAATAATCTGTAGCCTCCGTGTCTAACTCGCCCTTATAATAATAATATGCAATAACTTACGTTGCTCCTTTGTAGATTTTCGGTTGTGGCAACTTGCTCCGAACTACCCTTCAATAGGTGTTCCAGAAGCTTGGCGGAAGGCTCCGTCGAGATCGTCCCTTCGAGTTTCGAAGGGCTCGACGTCGTTCTTTGATGACTTATCACCAATGTTGGCTCGGAATCGTTTCGATTAGTTTGAGGGACAACGGAATCAATACTAATTTTTCGTTTGGTTAAGGGCTGCAAAGGTCCAACGGAACTTAAGCAATTTTTCAATTGACTGTCGTCTAGGGAATGATTCGACGATCCTCTTATTCTGTTTACATATTTAGGTTTCGGATCACCAGAACCAACCGAACTACTACACGACAATGAAACTGCACTAGGTCCCGTAATGTCTTCTAGAAATTGTAATTCGTTAGTGTAATAGTGTTTACGTCCCGCTTCCGGCTTTTTCATTTCCGCTTCGAGCATTTGACCGTAGGGCCCTCTTAGGGGACGTTTCGAATATCGTCGTGGGACGTGGTGATTTAAAATGTGTTCATTGTTGTTTGTAGGTCGGACTTCGCAATCAGAAAGGTCGGATGCGATGATACTTTGTTGATCGCACCTGCTGTGGTCAGTTTCACCTTCCGATAGCGAATCTGCGCGCAGAAGACTACCTTTTTTAATTCCGGAATCCTTTTCCTCGGAGGTTTGGGTTGATAGTGGAGGTCTGGCTCGATTTATTTGGGCCGTTAGCCATTCCGTTTCGGAACCGTCTTCCGGACTTTGGGGCTTATCTTCGGAGTTCGTGGACGATTCATTGCTCGTTTCGCAGCACACCTTCAATCTGGGCAACGCCGTCGAAAAGTTTTCCTCTGTAAATTCCCTGTCTTGCGACAGTTGCGGTAAGATGTCTTCATTATCCTTGTAGGAATTGGGCCACTGGGAGATGTATATTCCTTTTCTTCGTCGAGATTTATCGCGCTTCTTTTCTGTCCTATTATTATCCACTTCACTGTTTCTCACTATAATGTCATTAGCAACTATCTGTTTATTGTCGGGCTCGTGCCCAACGGCATCCACCGATGTAATTTTGTTTAGGGAGTCTACGATATTTTCTTCTCTGCATCCCTCATATATCATTTCACATAATTCGGTTACATTTTTATCGTTTTCTTCGGGAGAAGTTGTTATTGTTGTGGTTGGATTGGGGTAAACTACAGGTCGGTGGTTAGAGTTCTTTGAACGCGGTAAGGTGATTACACCTCGTCCACGCGAGCCTTCCCCAAGGTGTGATTCTTCTAAAGGACAACGTCTTCGAACGTATTTTTTGCTGTCGGCAGAGTAATCAACTTGAGAAAACGATGCACTTCTTAATGGCACATTGCGCGTACAACTGTCTTCGTTGTCATTTGAGGGCGATGGGGGCGGCGAATTGACAATTTTGTGTGGCACGTGTCGCGTGCGAGGTGGTGGTATTGGTCTTCTTTTTAATCTGTCTGTCAACTCCCGCAATCGCACTTCACTTGTTCTTTTGTCACGATCTCTTTCCTTGCCGGTGCTGCTATTGCGGTTACCGCCGAAGCGGAATCTTGGGAGACGATCCAGGGTGTTAAAGATGTCAGCCCCGTCCCCGTCCCCGCGCTCACACAGACGTGCATATACTTGCGGTTTAACTAATGTACGTCGACTCAGCTGGTTCTTTAACAGCGACTTGGTGCAGTGCAGTACTTGATTGCGTACTTTTACTTGCTCGGGCAGCGCTGACGTAGCATCTTCCTCCATCCTCATTCTATTTACGCAGCTAAATATATCGTGATTATTAATAGCCGGAGTAGCGAGCAACGGGATCTGGGAGACGAGACCGGGGCTAGAGTTGGAAGGCCAGCAACACTGAGAGCGGTAACGCGGTCCAGCTCCTGGTGGTGGCGGAGATACGGCACCCAGACGCACACCATATCGTACCGAGCCAACAGTAAGAAATCTGTCAATAAACGTCCGGCTTATTATTAATATAAAACGTGAGCTATAAGCGTTTAAATGTTAAGTTACCTTTTGGGAAGTACGTTACTGGTTTCTTCGTTGATATTGTTCAAGCGCAAACAAGAAGCACAATCGCCGCAGCGGCCGAAACATTCTTCGTGCCACCTGGAATATTCGTAGCCCGTCATTATTGCACGTTATCCCGCTACCACCTGTCATCCTTTAATCTTAAGTGCACCAGTTGCACCTCATCAAGACGCAACTTCCGCATTCAACAAGTTGTATTGTGGGAATTCATGGTTCACTTGTACTAAACAGCCGTAACAAGAACAGGTAAACGAATTTGCCAACAGGATTGTATAACGGCGCTTAACTGGACTAAGTGGACTAGTCACCACGTCTAACGAATCGCGATCCGCGGTACGACACTATTTACGCCGGTGGGGGACGCCACACTTATTAGATATTTAAGAATAATACAACAAAATAAAATAAAGTTGAAATGCTCTTCTTACAAACCGGACGTAGGTAGGTAGGTAGGTACATCGAGAACCTACTCTTTGTGTGCCATCTCTTGATTTCTAACTACCTGTTTGCACCTCCACAGGTATGCATACCAGCAACTTCGGTGACTCAGCTGTGGTAGGGGTTGTACAAAACTGCACTTTTTCCATCATATTCATAAGACATCATCGCACGTACCGCCGTAACCAAATTTTGCACACGAACTAATTAGTACAATTGTCTATCCTTCGCGAAAAATAAAAAAGTTGACCTCCACCATATTTATTAATGCGGCCCTCTTATTAATACCGTTTTTATTTATAGCAACATATTTTGAAGTCATGCACCTATAACAATCATACGTAAAACAGCTGGCACGTATTATAAGCTGTTTATTATGCCGCGCAAGAATTAAAAAAGTGTTACTCACGAATGCGTTTTCTAAAAAGCTACAATCCAGTATATTGTTTAGAACTAACAATCCAATAAACTAAGTGATATTTATAGAGATGTTTAATTTAGTGTAAGTGGCTACGACAAACATCAACATTTATTGTTTTATTGTTTATCGTGCCATTCAATTAGTGCATTAAAAAGGTGTATCAAATAGTTAAATGTGTATTTCAGCAAATTTTTTAATACTATGAATTGCGATTAAAAAAACTGCAAGTTGCATATGTAATTACGCCGAATAAACGGAACAATTACTCTATCGCAGGAAACTCCTTCCAATTTTTCTGGAATGGATTTTATCTAACGTACCTACAAGCGGAGACCGGCTTCTTTCTGATCATTAATTTCCATTCATTTTGACTGTTCCTTCCTACCCCATGGCGCCCGTGAAACTGGTCCTTATACACGACAACCCCTAAGAAGGCAAAATTGTCTATGTATAGTATTCATCCCGTGATGTAGGCATCAGTAGACAGCACCCACCAATCAGGTCATAGCAAATTGAATGCTCTCTTTTTCCTAAATAAATAGGAAGTCGTACATAACATATCCTTGGGAGTAGATCATAATATGTAATCGTTTTACTTTAGACCTGCCCCGCAGTATCTGTTGCAGGAGCTGGCGGATCGACTCCTCCAGCCCCTAAATAAGAAATCTGAAGCTCCTACAATCTATTACACAAACACAACAAAAAGCCGTGTTTTGTGTTTCCTTAGTAACTCTTTTACTTTGTTTGCCGGAGTATTTATTGAAATGGCGCTGGATTCTCTTATTTGTAAATGACATTGACAAAGCTAACGCTCTGGTTTGAAGCGGTGACATGTCATAGCACACATTAACACCAAACGTAAAGAAATTGAGAGACGCAGTGCATGACAGTTGACTCAGGAAGTCGCGATTCCTAATTTTATAAGAAACGATTTCAAATAGATGGCTTCCATTGTTGAATTGTCCCAAAGAACATACGGCAGAACTTATGTCGGGTCTGGTGCAAGTTGACAAGTAAGTTAAACTATACCTACCAGTTCTTGTATCAGGCTTACAGCCCTTTGAATTTTTTTTCGAAATTGGTTTCTAGTCTATAACTTTTGATTGAGAAGTCTAATCGAAAAAGTACGAATTGTTTTGGATTCTAGGCACCAAAATTAGTAAGAAAAAGTGTTTTCCCGAGAAATTTTGGTGCAGTCGATTTTTGGTAAAAAAGGAAGGTTATACACTGCCTTGTTTTGAGCCACGAAAAAAAAATTGTCTCTTTTTGGTAAAAAAGGAAGGTTATACGCTGTCTTTTTTTGAGCCACGAAAAAAAATTGTCTCAGATCGACCCGGAAAAAAAATGTTCTTATAGAATGTGGCCTGTACAATCCATAATTTCAAACAGTTCCAAGATTGGGCTACTAGTTCAAAAGTTACAGCCCTTTGAATTTTCTTTCGAAATTGGTTTCTAGTCTATAACTTTTGATTGAGAAGTCTGATCGAAAAAGTACGAATTGATTTGGATTCTACGCGCCCAAATTAATAAGAAAAAGTGTTCTCGTATGGTATCCACTATACAACGTATATAAAAACGACATTAAAAATATTCAACGAAGATTTTTAAAATACATTGCTTTTAAAAGTGATGGCGATCATCCGCAACGTGGTTTTCCTCAGGACACGCTGTTGGTACGTTTTGACGTTCATTCAATGGAACGAAAGACGAGTAGCTAATAGCATTAAGTTTTTTGTACAAACTTATTAACAGTACTTTAGATTGTCCTTATTTACTTGATACGACACAATGATAGGAACGGTTCAATAGAGAAAATCTGACACGGGACATCCAACGTATGCAATTCTTGAGTGGTATCCTGGCATCTCACTGGTTTTATTCTGACTTGAAGTACAGCTTCCGAATTCAGGTTATTTTCTACGAAACAAGTAGTCAGGATCGATTCCGTCGAAACCTAATTGCTGGACTAGGTTGACTATTGCTAGTGGAAGTTTTTGATTATTTACATAATGGATTACGTACATGTCTATATGTAGATGCAATGAATCATACTCGTAACATCTTCCCGGAAAACAATAACTTTGGTCTGTATGGATAAGTTTGCTTGTTACAAAGGGAAGACGCATAGAGAGTGCCCTCGTTAAAATTTTATAATATCTTTAATTAAAAGATTTACAATGCGTTTTCTCATTGGCCTAACCATTCGTCCATCCCTTAGACCAGTACGTGTAACTTTATTGCATAAAGGTCCGATTTTGTTTCAAAACGCTTCTTCTATTTAGAGACGAAGGCTTTTTGTAATCCATGATATTAAATGGAGTCTCTAATAAGTTTTTAAATAATGTGGAGTCTTTGTTTACTTTTTGATTTCGCCCCATTTATTTCATTTCAATATCTTTTTTACTATGGAGCACGTCCTCGTGTATCTCACGCACCCCTTGTGGTCTTCAGTGACAACGGTACGTTTATCATAATGGCGTGTGGAAAATAGGTTTTAAAATGGTAAATAGCATTTTAATTGACCACATACAGGAAAAGTGAATGATTTCCGACAGATTTGCGCTTTAAACCGATTTCCCCTATTACTAGCTGAATGTGTGTTTTAAAGTTCCGCTAACCACTTGTTTTTAAAAGCGTCTTTTCGCGACCTCATGCAATAGTGAAATACCGTCCAAAACAAATAAACACAAAAATATCCATTAATACCTCGTGTCAATCACAATATATTTAGAGCCACCAAAAGCACGTCTTTACTCACTCGAAAAAGTTGAAAAAACTTTAATTACATATACAACTCTACTCACTTTTTCATTATAAAAAAAACTCTAACAATAGAAAATCTTTAACTTTTCCTTTAAAGGTGCATTTTTAAAATTGTTGAAGGCGAGTTATCGTATAGTTCACTCTACTTCGTATCATTAGCGCACATGAACAGTTTACTAATCACAGCATTTCTTAATTTACTCGTAGGCAGTGTTTTTAAATTCGAGGGTACTTTGTTATAAAACTTTATGCAATATTATTTGTTACAATTTTTACTAGTAGTAAGGCGTATCCGTTTTAAAGCAATATCACCTCGCAGTCTGGTAGAGTATTGATGGATATCACGTCCTGTCTGGTATATATAGTAATCCTCGATTGCGGGGGTTGTAATTTTTGTAGTACAGTAAATATTTGTATTCTGTCAATCGATTATGTATAAATGATCCATAAGCAATCCTTCAATTGCTCCTTAAAGTTATAGTTCCTGTTATTCTTAAAATTATGAATTTTATTAGAAAATTCAGACTCATATGCATATGCAGATTTCGGGGGTTGTAATTTTTGTAGTACATCAATCATTTATATTTCGTTAATCGATTATGTATAAATGATCCATAAACAACCCTTCAATTGCTCTTTAAAGTCAAAGTTCCTTTTGGTTGTGTAATTAAGAATTTTATTAGAAAATTCAGACTTATATGAATAGTAATCCTCGATTGCGGGGGTTGTAATTTTTGTAGTACACCAAATATTTGTATTCCGTTATTTGATTGTGTATAAATGATCCATATGCAACCCTTCAATTGCTCTTTAAAGTTATAGATCCTTTTATTCTTAAAATTATGAATTTTATTAGAAAATTCAGACTCATATGCATAGTAATCCTTGATTTCGGGGGTTGTAATTTTTGTAGTACATCAAACATTTGTATTTCGTTAATCGATTATGTATAAATGATCCATAAGCAACCCTTCAATTGCTCTTTAAAGTTAAAGTTCCTTTTGGTTTTATAATTACGAATTTTATTAGAATTCGGACTCTTACGTGTAGTAATCCTCGATTGCGGGGGTTGGAATTTTTGTAGTACACCAAATATTTGTATTTCGTTATTCGGTTATATATAAATGATTCTTAAGCAACCCTTCAATTGCTTTTTAAGTTCAAAGTTCCATTTGGTTTTAAAATTATGAATTTTATTAGAATTCGGACTCTTACGTGTAGTAATCCTCGATTACGGGGTTGTAATGTCTGTGTTACACCAAATATTTGTATTTCGTTATTCGGTTATGTATAAATAATCCATAAGCAACCCTTCAATTGCTCTTTAAAGTTATAGTTCCTTTTTGTTTTAAAATTACGTATTTTATTAGGAAATTCAGACTCATATGTACAGTATCCCTCAATTTCGGGGGTTGTAATTTTTGTAGTACATCAATCATTTATATTTCGTTAATCGATTATGTATAAATGATCCATAAGCAACCCTTCAATTGCTCTTTAAAGTCAAAGTTTCTTTTGGTTTTCTAATTAAGAATTTTATTATAAAATTCAGACTTATATGAATAGTAATCCACGATTGCGGGGGTTGTAATTTTTGTAGTACACCAAATATTTGTATTTTGTTGTTCGGTTATGTATAAATGATCCATTAGCAACCCTTCAATTGCTCTTTAAAGTCAAAGTTCCTTTTGGTTTTATAATAACGAATTTTATTAGAA